CATACATACATACATACATACATATATATATATATATACATATATATATAGATTAAAAGGCAAAATACTGAAAAACAACAATGTTGTGGGAAACAATGACTGGATCTCGGTAGAGATACAAATTTTATAAGCAACAGCTGAAAACTAAATGTAAGTAAACAGCCAGAAAATTATATATATATATATATATATATAATATATGAAATGGTCATGAATAATGATTTTACATGCAAATAATATTACTTTAGAATAATAACTATGAATAAATCACACACCTTGAAAACAACACTGCAATTATGAAAAGAAAACAGGAATTCCAGTAGCGTTGAGGTTTTACGTCTACCAAGATAACAAATACCTGCAAGGAAAGAAAGCATTTTATTAAGTTCATCGGTTGACAATGCCACCTCATTCCATATTCTGTTCAATTTATCTCAAGAAATAATATATTTCCTATCACCAAAGAGTATAAAACTGATTTTGTATGCAGGCAACGGAATGTTAGAAGTACTGCCACGAAATAGGGGGCAGGCTACACATAATTTAGAAACTTGTACGCATTGCTCTCTGCTTTTAAAGGCCATGCCCATTTGTGCAAGTAATTTTTGAAATGGGATTGCGTTCCAAAGAATCCCCGGCAGTCGGACCTCTTGCAGTTTTATACTCTTTGCTATCACCCTACTATGTCCTCCTCATGTGCAGTGGCGGTGCTAGCCCACACCCCCCTCCACACGCCCCACTCCAGGTAAGTTTCTTGCCCGCCCCAACCCCAGTTCCCCCACCGCAAAAAAAAGGAGAAAAACCACAATTCTTTGGGAAAAATGATATGTATTTTCGACATATTATCAGACTATCTATCTAAAAATTCGATAAAATAAGCCTCTTAAACTCAATTGTCATATTTTCGGGGCTTCGCCAAATGGATTTTCAGCAACACCAGACCAATGCCAATTCAGGCCACCCCAACATATTACCCGTAAATTTTTTTTTCTATTAATTTACTATGAATACAACGCTAGATCCACAAAACCAATTTTGTCAGAATTGATTAAAAATTGCCAAAAGGCAAATAATTTAGACAGTTTTTCAGCCATTATTGCGGTATAAATGGTAGCCAGGTCAGCTAGGACTGCTATCCATGTTTGAAAATATTTGTCTGAAAATTGGTGCTTTTCCCTACATCGTTCTCTTATTAGACCATGATTAGACCTAAACCTTTAATACTGAACCAACTTGTAGATCTGGGAGGGAACTCTCTCACAAATCCCTCCCCCAGACTATGGGTTCTAATTTTTAGAGCTATGTGCTTCCATGGGTCCTTCATTAGACCTTTGTCCAGGGTCCCGCAATCACCTGACCTGGTTGCGGACAGGGGATAAATGCATGTTTGACACAAAGAAATGTCCCCCCAAGCCCCCGCCGCCACCTTTATAAAGCCAGGCAGAGGGAGTTGGGATAACGCCCAATTAACCATGAGTAGTTTACCACCCTCGTCCGCATGTTGTCTGTGGTATAAACAACTACAATTTTTGATTTATTTAATTTTTTTTCTTTTTTTTAATAAATATTTTTCTTTAAAAAAAAATGTTTCGTAAATTTTTTTTTCTTTCTTTTATTTTTTATTGTAAATAAGGCCTAGTAGATATTATTTGCAATCATGTATTTTGCTTTGAATATAAATTCACCAGCAAACAACCCAAGGGTGATAATTGACCTTAGCAAAATAAAAGACACCCTCCTCATCATTTTTCTAGGGGTCCGACAAATTACCAAAATGATAAAGAATTACCCAAATAATACCTGAATGATACGCAATTACACAAATGAACAACCAAATGATACAGAAAGTATAATACATACTCCAATTACTGAAATGCACGCCATCGTGTTGGGATTCAATATTTCGACATTAATTATGTCCTCATCAGGAATGATACCTAAATGTGTATAATTAACGTTGAAACCTTTCGTATTTTTAACCTACAGTATTTATTTGTTAAAATTATTCGTAATTGTTTTTATAACTTCTTTAATCATTTGATAATAATACAATAATAATTTTTATCATAACATATAGTATCATTTCTTTCTCTATACATGCTATTCCATCTTGTATATTTAACAGACAGCTCATTTTTTTAAAAAAAACCAAATATTTGGTCATTAACATTGCACTCTAATCATGAAACAATATGTAAAACTTTTGTTTTGTTTTAATTACATTTCTTTTATTTCATGTCATAAATGGATTGATTTTTTTTCATTGCTTGTTTTTTTTTTTCATTGAAAATTCAATTGTAATTCATATAATTCAACTTTTTAAAACTTTTTAAACTTTCTTTCAGCTTCAATGCCCCCTCGTTCTTTAGCTCACTCCCTTTAAAAATCAGAAATTCTACAACCATCTCATCCTTTAAATATAATCTCAAAAGCTATCTCTCTCTTTCCTTGGTTTAGTTTTTTCCCCTCTGTCTCTCCCCCCCCCCCACCACTGTCTCTTTCAGGCTGGCCGTAAACTTCATTTTTTTTTTTTTTTTTTTTTTTTTGGCTTTCCTTTTTTTGCCTTATTACTCTGCATTTTTATTATAATTTTATATTTTAATTTCTTTGTTTATCTATTTATATTTCCTTTGCTACTTGTGTTATGTTACTATTATAAACTTATAAATATATATTAATTTTTTTTTTAGCCTTATTATTCTACTTTTAATTATTTTATAGTCAATTTGATTTTATTTTAAATTTTATTTATATAATATGTATATATGTAATCATTTCTTTTCCTTTGTTACTTGGTTATTATTATTATTTTTTCATTTTAATTTCTTTGTTTTTCTATTTATATTTCCTTTGTTACTTGTGTTATGTACTGAGGGTCCCTAATGATCAGGTCCAGCTGGATGGACCACCCTCGTAAAATATTGTTGAAATAAAAATAAATAAACTGTAACTCATGCCAAAAACCTATTAAGGGGACAATTTCACATTTTTGGTCAGTGTCCCCTGAATATTGGTTCCCTATTTAAAAGGGGACAATTTTGTGGGTTCTACTGTATTATCATTATCATCATCATCATCATCATCATCTTCATCACCACCACCACCACCACCATCACCACCACCACCACCACCACCACCGTCGTCATCGTCATCGCCATCGTCATCGTCATCGTCATCGTCATCATCATCATCATCATCATCATCATCACACTCCACAATATAACATAGTTGAAATATAGACCAATCAGAATCGACCCATTTCCATGTCAACTCCATTTCATCTTTTTTTGGCACAATGACACCTCATAAAAATATGATACTAATATATTCAAGAATAAGCAGTTGGGTGTTGCCGGTGTGAAATAAATAGTTGGCTATTGTCATTTTTTGCGAGACTGTCTTTTCTTTCATTGAAAAACATATTGGCTGAAATAAACATTTGGCCAAAAAATGTTTAACAGAAATAACAGTAATACACCTGTTTAATTTCAAAGTGCTAAATTTATTTAAAAAACAAAAACAAAAAACAAAAAAACAAAAAACAAAAACAAAAAAATGCTGGGGTAAGCCAGCAAAACCTTTGATGCATATCAAGTTTGAGTTAAATGCACCTAAATGAATCCATAATATTCGTGTATATGTATTTTGTTTTCAAAAGGCCTACATTATTTTATAAAGGTGCCAGTATCTTAAGATTCTACTAATAAACTAGTAATAATACAGATAATAATATAATAAATGACAATAATAGCAGTAGCAATAAAAAATAATAAAAACATAATATTTGCTTATATTATTGTATTTTTATGGCAACCCTGTTTTTGTTTTGACACACTATTGGGTCTTGAATAGACAAATAAATACACAATAAATAAACGGTGATACTATTATTAATATGCCTATTATATATAGTATATAAAGGCCTATGTGTATGTTATAAATTATTATAATACATTATACTGCTATGCTAGCCCTAGGGTTACTAACGTCATATTTAATTTTTAGTTTGGTATAAAACAAATTAACAGAGTCATTTGGGCTATGATTTGTGTAATTGCGTATCCGTATCAGTTGAGTAATTTCGTATCATTTGGGTAATTCCATATCATTTGGGTAATTCGTCGGACCGCTTTTGCAGCATAAAGGTGACAAACTTCCGCTCCAGACAGTCAGTGTAGATAGATAATAGGGCCAAAAACTGTTAGGCCTCCGCTCTACGTGTTCCGATCCCACTCAAAACCAACCACCCTCATCTACAGGACAAATTACTGTTGCCCAACACTTTCAAAACATCTCCGAAAAGGTTAAATGGCCAAAATTTCCCAGTTTCACGCAGCCACCACTACTGGACACTAACTAGGCGTACGCTTACCCACTGAGCAAGCTAAACTACATAAGGAGTTGGGCTTAGTAGCGGTAGGGGAATATTAGGACTACTAATAATAGCCTTGTATTATATCTATACAATTTCTTTAATGAACAATGAGTATTTAGAGGTATTAAGAATAATTTATAACTTTAAAAATACGGAAACTTACGTTATATCTTCTGATATTCGTGTCTCCTAAATCCACATGTGGTTTTGTTTTGTTTATTGTTTTTGTTTTGACCCTTAGTAGATATATAGCGCCGCCAAGAGGAGCTTATCAACTTTTTATAATAGGCAAAAAAAAAAAAAAAAAAAAAAAAAAAAAAAAAAAAAAATTTTTGTTGAAAAAGTTTTTGGAAAAAAAAAAAACTCTTATACACATCTAGATGTGGATAAGAGACAGTATATATATATATTAATACCACCTCAGCTCCACCATGGTTGGGTGCTGAGGTAAGAACATTTTTGATTACGGCACTTCTAGATGGCCGGTAATGGCACCGTGTCTCTCAGACTTAAATTTGATTTTTTTTTTTCTCTATAAAAAAAAAATACACTCATAATTTTTGACTAGTGACAGTCGACTTGGGTGACGCTGACTGGGCAAATGAAATGACAAAAAAAAGAAGCTTGTACGTCCCCACCTACTCGTAAAAAGTCTCAAACGAACTCAAAAAGCAAAGAAATAACAATCATTTTAAACATTTTGTTTACTAACTTGCACCTCTTGTTTAATAATGTGAGATATATTCCTGCCTTATTTATTATCTTCCTTTGAGAGATTGGCGAAATGCAACCATGAGAGTTGATTCTATGTTTTGAGTTGACACTAATTTCTTTTCGTCTTCGTAGCTACTACGCCAGGGTTATCTCCAAAGTTGAATCCTTTGTAGGTCTGGCCACTATACAGAAATATTTTCAACTATATTTCGAGTTGCGCTTTTTTTTTCAGAAGCAATCTCGCGGCCCTCAAACTCTGGGGGACGACTCCGCCCTGTTAAGTGCAAAACAGTTACAGAAATTACTTTGTTATCAATGCTATAGCACATTAACAATTTAAACATTCATAGATATTGCTTTGTACTACGAAAGCCCATTAGTGCCAATAAAGTATATGTTCAGTAATTCGTAATAACGAATTACTAATTCGCGAATTAGTAATTCGTTATTACGGATTACTGAACATATACTTTATTGGCACTAATGGGCTTTCGCACAAATGGGCTTTCGTACTACACAGTACTGGTCACGTATGCAGTGGCATGGCGTATCTAGACTTGCCACAAGTCTTATTTTTTTAAATTGTTTTTCTCATTCTGGACAGCGCCACCAACGAGGAAGTTAATTTAGAAACGGAATAAGCTAATCCGAAAAAAAAAAATCGAATATGGACGCCAATTAAATTAGGTTTGGCGCGCACTAAGTGCTATGGCGTATCTAGAAGTCTCGAAATGGGGGTGCTGTGGGGGCGTGGCGCAAAGGTGAAGTGGGGGAATCCATGATCAGTTGAGGGGGCGCTAATTAGCAAAATAAGGTGATTTTAGGTGATTTATAACTAATTGACCTTGATTTTTTTTTTAGGGAGGGGTGGGGAAAATAATTTTTTGGGTGACGTGCGCTCCCCGCGCACCCACTAGATACGCCACTGCACGTATGTGCAAATAACAGGTGCTATAGAACTTTTTTATATTTATTTTCACGTATTGATGTGTAATGTAATCTTATATTTATTTTATTCTGTTTTAGTAGCTAGCAAGTTTGTTGTTTTTTATTTATCAAGCATCACTGAAGATTGTAATTTCATAGTTCACTTGTTTGGAATATGACAATAAAGCTTATCTTATCTTATATACGGAATATATATAAATATATAACTTAATAATATAACAAAATGAATAAATCGTCTATAGTATAAATTGTGCACTTTTGAGTTTGTAAAAATGTTGGCCTATTAGGTTTACAGGCTTCCAATTTTAAATACGTACAGTACATTGTTTTTACAATAAGGTCGTTTAGCCCTGAGTCGATTCGGCCCAGGTGGATTTGGCCGGGTCGTCGTTTCGGCCCTATTTGGGCCGAATCGGCCCGGGTTAGAAGGCCGAAACGCCCATCGAGTCAGAATTGGTCGCGCCTATTGTTTTGTATGCATTTCGATTTCTATTACCAGCTGCAGTGGAACGCCATTGTGGTTTATTTGGGTTCTGTATTTAAAGAACTTTTTTGTATGTTAAATTAACTATAAGATATACTTATTTCATAAATCTAATAACTAATAATGTTGCAGTAATGTAATCTAATTTTCATGTTAACAAACTGTATACTACCTGCTTATAACACCTTTTTCTAATAAAGTATTATTCGCGGTAGCACCTTCGGCGCTCCATACACTGAGGCCCGAAATGCATGACACGAAATGATCAGAACAACTCAAGGCTGAAACGACTCAGGGCCGAAACGACCCGGGCCGAAACGCTGGTTTTTCTCCCCAACGGGGAGAAAAAAAAAGTAGAAAGCAGTTTTGTAGAACAAATTTAGTTGGACAAGTTTTTCCGAGTTTAATTACAGCTTTTTATTGTGTAAATGTGGATTTAATATTGATTATTATTTAATTAATCTTTGAACAAATAAATTTGTATGGACTTAGTTTTGTATTTACCGGAGTCAAGTCCTAAGAATTAAATTTTAAATGTTATTTTTTTTAATTAAGTTCAGAGAATTATAGTTTAACATTGCCAAATTAACATCACCTTGAAGTTCACTCGTACAGATAGTTTATTGGTTAGCGAAGTACACTTCATGTTAAGGGTATCGGGTTCAAGTCTGTAGAGAACAAACGTGTTTCCTTTTTTTTTTTCAATGCTTCTTAAAAAAGTAAACATAAACATAAGTATGGTTAAACACTCACAAATCAACATGTACCAAAATTGGCTCGATGTAAAGAGGCATGCGTTTCAAAGATCTAGACACAGGTTCTAGACGCCGGCACCGAACGGACCCGGGCACGGCACGGACAGGGCACGCCATATGCGTTGGCAATCGGACAGGGCACGCCATATGTGATGGCAATCGGACAGGGCACGGTTACAGGTGTAGACCCTTTAGCGGGTTAGGTTAAGTTTAGAAGGATAGTTAAGTTAGATTAAGATAAGTTTAGATTAGATCTAAGTAGACGAAGGACGGTAACAGACGCTGACAGACACGAGACGGCACGACGGCGCGAGGACTTACAAGCGCATGTGCGATTTTTGTTTCAAAAAATAAAAATAAATAAAGGAAATGAAATAAAAAGTAAATGAAGGGTTTTATTGATTTAGAAATACGCGATATAATATTTCCGTGAGAATTTTCACTCTTGAAAATGGGTAGAAATTAATATTTCAAATTCAAATCTAAATAAGTGCTATCGACTGTCTTAAAATAATATGTAACAGTTGTTCGACGGCAGCAACTGTACAATATTGCTAACTTTACTGTTTTTAAAAACGTAAAACTAAACATATGAAATTTCAGTCAATTGCGAATGAGAGCTTTTGAACCCAGACCTATTATAACGTGGTTTAGTTAGCTTTTAGGAAGTGTAGAGGTGCCAGGGGGAAAGCTACGAATATTTTACGAATTTTGGTGAATTTTTATTAGTTATTTGAAAGGCATCTGAAAATAGGCCCTACTTCATGTAAGTTTTTTAATGTCGAAATTAACTTCGAAAACCGAAAATTTTCCAATAAAACAACGAGAAACAAAGAGCATGCATTGTAGGCCTAACCAACTAACTTATTTTCAAATCCGTTTTTCATTTTATATTATTAAAAGAAAACCATATTGCATTACAATACTATCCTCTTATCATGGCGAAATCCAGGTTTTTCATAATCCATGTGATTGTGAATTATTAACAACAAAATTACGAATAAGAATAATGTCTTACTGTACCGTAAATTGTAAGGCAACCAATTTGTGACATTATGCTACGATAAATTAAGAAAACACAGCGTCACCGGGAACATCACTGTACAAGCTTATAATTCATAATAAAGATCAACATTTTTGAAATTTTGCCTGAAATCTGTAAACCACGAGTTTGCTTCCCCGATCAAGATGTCTTCCAAGCATCATGAGGATATCCAAACGGGCATTTGTATAGTAGAATGTAAACCATTTTTAATTAGTCTCATTGAACAGGGGCGGATCCAAAATTTTTTAAACGGGGGGAAGGGGAATTTATATTCTTTTTTCTTATTTAATAATAATAATAATAATTGTCGACTAATATAGCTCATATTGTAGACTAACCTCTATGCGCTTTAAATTATTACCCCTGGTCACTGGCTCAAGCACATGGAACACAACACTCATGCCCCATAATGCTGCAGCTGTAATCAGCGCATGGTTGTGTTTGAACCTACCAGGCACCCACTTGTACTCCTGGGTTGAGAGAGAAATTTCAATACATAACATTAATATGCACTGACATTTTAAAAAATAGTGTTTGAACGCAATTAATTAACTGTGAAGAATATATTGTTTCATGGGCTTAATTCAATGTGAAAAGTAATAACTTACAATAAAACGGCACGTGAATTTATGTTATTATTATTATTATTAGTATTTATTATTATTATTATTATTATTATTATTGTTGTTGTTGTTGTTGTTGTTGTTGTTGATGTTGTTGTTGTTGTTGCTGTTGTTGTTTTGTTATTATTGTAATGAAAAGTTAACACAAACAGTACACAAACATGTCAATGAAGGCGATATGGTTGCTAAACGGACGGACATGTAAAAATATTTCGTACAGTTATTTTTCTTATTCCGAAACGAAATGTACTCGTCTTCCCCGACGTGGAGGTGGCTAGGCTTCTCCAACGAGGAGGCTATAGTCCACTCCTGTCTCTTATACACATCTAGATGTGTATAAGAGACAGCATTTGTACAGTCTCCTGATGAAGTCCACTGTGTGGATGAAANNNGTAGCCTACCTACTACTAAAAGCTGAGCCTTGCTCAATTGTATATATTGTATACATTTTCTTTCATGAACAGTGAGTATTTAGAGGTATTAAAATTTGTGTAGTTTTAAAAATACAAAAACTTATATTATATCTTGTGATATATTGTATAGATATCTAATCGCTTTTTCCTACACACAGATTTTGTTTATTTTGGTTTTGTTTTAAGATATAGCGCCGCCAAGTAGAATCAGTTTCAAAACCAGTATCCTCAGAATGTTTTTGTTCTTGCACTCTGGGGTGGATTTTGTATTCCTGCACTGCACATGCTGTCAGGTTGCTATGGATTGATGCAGCTTAGAAGAAGAAAAGGAAGAAGAGTAGCATATTTTTTTTAAGCATTTTTTTAGACGACCTATTAGATACTTTCTTGTCTAAGTGCTCTGGTTGATACGAATAATATAAACTCATTTGTTACTTGGTTTAAACCATGGTTTCCGTACTGTTTCTTCCATTTACCCAACTCCTTACATAAATAACAGAGCTTAACAACATTTCTGATTCATAATTTTATTTTATTGGCAGATATAGCGTTCTTGCGTTCTTCATATTAATTCATACTGGGTATATATATCTGTCTCTTATACACATCTAGATGTGTATAAGAGACAGTCGCTGGTCGGCCGACAGCGTTGCCAAAGGAGTCGGCGATGGCGTGTACCGAATTTTATGGATACGTAAAGTAAGTATAACACAGCAATCTATATCACATGAGTTATTCGAGGCAGCTAAAATGTGGCTATTATAGTTGATTGGTAATGCCACGTACAGAGAAAGGCGGCATAGATTCACGAGAATAGTCAGGACACCCAGTGGTAGACCAATCCATGATAAGACTTTTCATTACATTGATTACGCTATTCATGTTGACAGTTGCTGCGACATTTATCTCTATGTCAGTAACATCCTTATTGTAGACCATAAGTACCTACAAAAAGAAAATGTTTAATAATGTTATTCATTTGAAAATATGAGTAGCTTATAGGTACTGGCTGCTTGTGAAATTTATGGTATGATAATTGATATAATGGGCCTTTCTGCTTTGCCCTTCCGCTTGGTCCACTCCACTTGGTCCACTCCCCTTGGATATCATTTCTTAAGTCTCACAAAATGACAGTGTAAAAACATACAAAAATACGTGCGTTTGTGTGACACACAAACGTATACCTGGCCTGTTCTGATTGGCCAGTTGATAAGTTTGATTGGCACTCCAAAAAAGGTCCATTACTGAAAATCTTCATGTTTTATATTTTCAACTGTACCGTAGTTTTTAATTTTGCCACGGCGATTCAACAAAAGGACGTACATCTCGAGACATCAAAGGCGGTATTATTGATATTAATAATACCTCCATGATATAACTCTGACATCGACACTCTACGCGCGCACCTACAAGCTGACCGTCACAAAATTCATAGCAGCCAAACGATAATTAACCGTTAGCGTGTGAATTGCCTTGGTTTTGCCAAGTTATTAACTATTTTATTTTTATCTATTTTAACATTTACCTGTAGTGGGTTTTTAAGGGTTAAAAGTTCGGTTTCATCCAGTATCCAGAACTTTACAGTTCCTTTCGAGTAAAGTGCATATAGTTTGTACATCAAGTCGTTGACTGGAAGTGGGTTTTCATTTGTTGTGTAAAGATCTTGCTTGGCACTTTTCTTTGGATCAAACCGAAAATCGGCTTCTACCGAAGGAGCTTGGAAAACAAATTTAAGCAATAAATATTGGTTTTAAATATGGTTTTATCCTATGTAATGTCCTAAAGTTGTAAAGAATAATACTAATACGAAGGCGAGCAGATTTATGCAATTTGTATAAAATATGAAATTAAAGTTTAACAATGATTCATATAATGAAATCAATAGGCCTACGGGATTGCACAAGACAAAGGAAAAAAACCTTATACAAATATAACATATAAATTACCTGAAAATATTAATTCAATAATATGATAACATTACTCAATTAAGAAGACGTACCAATTTAATAATTTATGTACAAATTTGTTTACAATTAAGATACCATAAAAATCGCTACACGCTATATGGCCAACTTCTTTGGCGACAATGATTGGTCATTTGAATCAGTGAGCGTTCCCGATTTAGTCGGGGACAGCTAGACAGTGCTAGAATTGCAGTGAAAACGGTGTAGCACTGGGTAGCGATTGTGTAGAAACCAAGCTTTATAATACTGTACTAAAAACTGTAGAGTTCCTAAAAGATAATTTTTACATATAGTAAAAAAAATGTTTTATATGATTGTATTATCAAGGATCACTGGGCCTAGTTGTTTCTTACCAAATAAGGAAAACAGCGGGGAACTATCAATGCAATGTTCCTGGCAGGCGTATGCCTTCATTTCTTCATTTTCCCGAGCGTAAAAATTTGATTTATCTCGCTCCTCGAGAAACTCAAACGGTATCCAGTGCAGAAGGTTGTTACAGTTTTCAATTTTAGATTCGTAGTAGACACCTCAAAAAGTAAATACATTTGTTATTAAGAAAAACCTAGCTGGCAATGCTACAACAATACCAATAATTAAATCTGAATATTTTTACAATTCTCTCTCTCTTTCTCTCTCTTGAGTCTTGACCGATTCGGCTTCTTCAAGCCATAGTACGACGATAAGATGCTATTTTTTCTGTGTATAATCTTCATGCTCTGCAGTGTCATTAGTTTTGTTTATTGGTTTCAGGACGTTGTTTATTTTGTTTAATCTATGTGTGTTTTGGTCTTCCTAATATTTCCTTTCGATTTTCTTAGATGTTCCTTTTGTGCAAATTCTTCCTGGTGCGTCTTGTGGTAATTTGAGTAGTTTTCATTTCGTTGTCATTCTATATGTTCGATTGTTATTCTGTCTTTAATGATGATTTGACTACCAGATTTAATAAATCGATAGCCTCTTAATTATGTTGATGAATATTATCATTTTCAGTGGTTATACAATGTGTGATCTATAATTCCTTATTATCTGTTTTCTATAATTATCTATATCTTAATTTTATTATTATTATTATATAAACCATGATTTTTTCGATTACAACTTATAGCAATTGTTCAAAAGATATGATTTGTATTGTAGGCACTATCTTATAATATGCAATTTTACAGAAAATAATATATCATGTGACGTACCTTCTTCACAAGTGCTGCAATCACCGAAGCATCCTTCGAGAGCATTTTTCACATCGTTCTTAGCGCGATACAGATGCTTTCGTGTAATCTCAGTCCATAATCTGTTAACCTAAAAGCAATAACAAAAATAAAAATCAATAAAAATAGCAATAATAGCGACGACGATGATGATGATGATATGATGATGATGATGATGAAGAGGATGAAGATGATGCAAAATAACCAAGAGACGTGGCTTAACGTTAGAGATATTATTTTTTGATTTTATCAAAGATACGGTTCGGTACCGTTAGGCCTAGTAAATTGGAATTAGGCATTGTGAATATTTAATTTACAAGACAAAGATAGATAAGCCTGGTAAAACAGTTTCATAAGTTACCTCTTCTTCTCGGTGATTCTTGGTTTCCTTGCAAAATTCAGTATTTACCATTGGTTGACAATCACCGGGGTTTACAGGAGTGAATGTTGACCATAACTCTGGAAATGTGTGATGAAATTCGATCGACTGTTTCTGGGGTTTTACTGTAGACTTGCAGGCAGTTTCCTTGTCGTCCGGATCAATTAAACGGCTCTCTGTAAATTACAGAACAACGAACGAGTTCATAAGAAAAAATTGAGTGGAGGTGGTGGTGTTGTTGGTTGGCAAACAAACCAAAATAAACAGGTTCTCTAATCGCGAAAGCTCCGATAATGGCAGTATAATAGAGGCAGTAGATCTAAAAAAGATCTACTAATCAATCAGCCTCATGAGGGCAGTATAGAGGCAGTAGAGTAAAGAAGATCTATTAATTAATCGGCCGAGTTTTTCTAGAGCTCCTCATCGCAGCTAAAACAAGCCTTGCGTTACCTAAAGCAGCTTTAGTTCTGTCTCTGAGATCTTGAGCGAATTCCTCTTCTGTCTCCTCACTCAGAAGTTCTTCATCTTCAACCCAAGCTTTGAACGAGCTTCTTAAATCGACAAATACTGAATCGGTGTACAATCCTATATTATTACAATTATAAATACAAAAAAAAAAGCTTTTCAATAATTATAGGCCTACAAAGATAAGATTAACATTTATTTTAACACAATAAGTTATGGTTCTAGAATCAATCAATCAATCATCATGAAACAATATGTCCTAGCGTTGGCTCTATGGTTAACAGAAATCCTCAAATGGTTTATATTTTCAGCCAGTTTTATGCCTGGTGGAATGAGCCTCCAGCCAAGACGTCATTTAACCATTTCTTTTTTGGTCGCTTAACTTTATTGTTGCCGCTGTTGGCTTCGGGAAATATGCGTTTAAACAGTCCCAGTCTATCCTTGTCCAGTCTTGTTGTCTGGCCTACCAAGCCATCCGTAGCGGACGTAGTCTGACCATGATGCTTATAATGGGCATTAACCCGAACAAGAACACCACATCTTCCATTTCATGTTGAGAAGCAACACAACAATTTAATGATATAAAACCAAGACTATTATAACTAGTTTTAATTATTTTATAGCAATTCTAATCTGATTAAATTCAATTCATTATAGGCCTACAAAAAGATTGAAATATTTATTGTAGTACATGAATTTCAAATCCTTAACCAATCCTTACCAATGCCAATCTGATAACCGGGCGTTTGAAATATGGGTCCGCACTGATGGGCTATCAGGTTAGAAAGACGCCTTGTAGTAAAGCTTTTGGAATCGTCCACAGTAGCTGCATCATACATAACTTGCATTGCACGACCGAGTGTTGGAGTTTCATAACGTGGGTCCTCCGTGCCTAACATTGAATCACGCTGAGTGCTGGTTAGGTAGGACCACAGAACTTGTATATTAATAGCTGGTTTACCTGTATTGATGATATTGTTTGTTATTCAAATCAATCAATCAATCAAATACTAACCAGTCCGTCACTCACTAACTCACTCACTCTCTCACTCACTCACTCACTCAATCAATCAATCAATCTATCAATCAATCGACCAATGAATCATTCAAATCCTGTCGAGATAGATACACAAACGCATACTATGATGTATCAGTAGATCCGGTTGATCTATGGATTATTTACCGTACCTTCTCGCCATTTATTTTCTTTGGTGATCAGTGCTTGGTAACATCTTGTCAGCAGTGGATTCAAACGAAGGTACCGCGATTCCATGGAAACAAAGTTTGACAATGGAGAATCTAGAGAAACTAGCTTATCCATCTGAAGAAATAAATTATTGAGATGGTGTTCAAAACAAAAGCCTATTGTCCTACTGGTTGTGTGTGAAATGGTCGTCAAAAAAGGTTAAATTCTAGTCTATTATAATATTGTTGTCATGACTACACGGACGCTGTGGTCACACACTGTGAACTTTAGGGGTGCATGGTCCGTGTAAGAGGAGTATGGAAACCTGTTCTGAATTGACGCACAATGTCTATAATAACAACTTCACTTGCAGATATGTAAATAACTATTGCGTGTGAAGATCATAAATTGGACAACTCTCTTAGCCTCTCCTGCTCTGCACATCATTTTGCTACCAAAGCCTCTCACCTGATGATCACTGTCAAACAATGGCATCGTCTCATCTCCATAAGCCTGGAATCTGACTGGAAGTTCATGATGGGGTAACTGTGAATTTGGCGGCGCTACAACAATCAGCTGATTGCTTGGAAACTGGACTTTCTTAGCAACAGATCCAGCCTGCTTCTGTACTGCGATGAAGATATGATCACCTATAACAAAACAATAAAAGCTTCAAAAATATTATTACCAATGTGATTTATTATTATACAACATATTTATTCAGGATACATATTCAATGAAAGTAAATGTGCAATAATAAAATTGACAGTGCATACTAACATTTATCTTCCATATGGTCCTGATTAAATATCAATGAAAGATAACATTATTAAAATAAGGACAAAAAATACGATACTTAATTGTTTTTTATTTAAGTTTAGCGTCACCACCACAACTAATACTACAGCCAGTTAATAATACTATCAGCCAGCGTAATAATTCAAAAATATTCTTAGGTTTGACCAATATCAATGT